ACTTTATCTGCCGTAGCCACACACAGTCCCTGTATCTCTCCCAAACATCTCCATCCTTACCACTCTCCCAATTTTCAGCCACACTTCACTTCAAATGCCTTCCTCACCTCTGCATCCTGCAACTTCCATGTCTTTCTCTTTGCCACAAACTTATCCTTCTTCCTCCTCCCCATTTCTTTTGATGTCACATCCATCACAACCATACTATGCTGCAACATACCAGGTATCGCCTTCACATTCTTCACATACTTCCTATGTTTGGCCCTTACCAATATATAGTCGATCATCGATCTATGTTCCCCTGACCTATAAGTAATCAATCGCGCTGGTTCCCTTGTGAACCAAGTGTTCCCCACCACCATGCTGTGTGCATCCGCTAACTCCAACACTCTACACCCTTCCTCATTCCGTATACCATATCCCCATCCCCCATGTACACCTTCATATCCGTCTGCATCCCCCCCACATGACCATTCAAATCACCCAACAACACCACAAACTCATTCAACCCCGCTTGCCCAATTTCGTCAGAAACATCATCATAAAACCTATCCTTCTCCTCTTCCTTCCTACTTTGTTGCGGAGCATATCCTGATATCACCCTCACTATTACTTTTCCAAACACCATCACCACCACAATTACCCCATTGCTTCTCCGCCTCACTTCCAACACCTGCTCCAACAACTCTTCTCTTACCATCACACCAACTCCTCCCGTACCATCATCCCCCTTCCACCACAACTTATATCTTCCACCTTTAGCCCCCACAAACCTTGTACCCTCACCCTTCCATCTGACCTCCTGTAATGCAGCCACGTCAACCATTCTCCTCTGCAGCTCCTCCACCACTTCCAAACTTCTTCCTGTCAACGTGCCTACATTCCAGGTACCAAACCTCCAACCCCTTGGTCTACAAGTAGTCAATTAAAACCACAAAACCAGCAAATCAACCAGCCAATCAAATCGTCCAGTTCATACGTTAGCGTTATCTTGGTTATCGATAAGCGACTTGGCGGCAGCTGTAGCACTAGCAGCTTGCTTCTTGGCTGCTTCACAATCTGCCTGTAGGATAGCTGAGTTGTTCAGCATCACGACCATTCGTCTCAAGATGCTGCGTGTTAAAACAACAACACCATTACAACATGACAACAACAACAACAACATGGCAACAACAACGACAACACCATAGAAAAATACTAACACAAACAAAAACATGGAAAAACCCGCGATGTAGAAATTTCTCTGGGCCCTAAATAATTTCATGTGCTGCATATTCTCAGCCATCGGGTTGCCCTTCAGTTCGTCGTTCGCCAGTGGCGCCGAAAATCTCCTGATCTCCCTAATTGCGTCTGTCAGAGGAAAATAAGAATTAGGATGGAACTAAATAGGAGAGAGAATGTGTGTGTGAGAGAGATAAATGAGAAAGAGAGAGAAAAATGGTTTTTTAAGTTGAGATGGATACGTATAAAACATCTGAAAAAACTATTTCATAAAAACCTCAGAGAACAATGACAGAACAATCAACCAACCAACCAACCAATCAGAGAATTAATCAGCCAACCAACCAACTGACCAACCGACCAACCAACCAACCAACCAATAAACATGACAGCAAGCAAAAGTAGGAAGAGACCAAAGTAAAAGTTAGCGTACGAGACTATAAAATTCATTGCACGAGATTTGAACAGAGATCTCCATCTGTGAATGAGGTTAAAATTCACTAATTATAAAACTTGTTTGATAATAATTAATTTTGAAACATAATTCTTTACAATTATTATACTAATTATGACAAAAAAAACAGCCATACATAAAATTAATTCAAATGCCTAATCACTAATCTGAACTAACTTGCTAGGGGAAATAATGGGCAGCATTAGAATGATGCAGACAACTATTTCTGCATACAAAAACGTGGCTGTCAGGGTCCACAGTAAGGTCATTTTGATTAATTGTCTTTGGTGATTGACCAGATGACAAAGAGATAAATTTTTCTCTAGATTTAGAGTTTAGACTTGGTTTGCTTTTTATCTGTAAGATTTAAATTCAATTTTCAATAAAAACTTTTTTCCTATTTTAAAGATATTTTTATCTATATTATGGAAATAAAAACAGAAAACCCCATTTTAATTAAATAATTAAATGAAATTATTAAATCAAAATAATTCTTAGAATAAATTTCATGATGTAAGCAGTAAGAGTATTTTTTTAAAATTAAAAGCCTTTTAAACAAAATTTCTGCCAAAAAATTTCAAAATGTATATCTAATAAATTAATTTAATTATTGTTAATTAATAATAGTAAATACTTTTAAAGCTTAAAAATTAAAATTAAACTTATTATATTCAATAATAAATTTAAATTATTATATCATTTAAAAATTAAAATCACCTATTTTTACAGTTAATTACTTACAGACACATTTACAATTTCAATCAGACTTATATATTTATTCTTATCCCCAGCCAATCAGAGACTGCCGAACCAACAAATATAGGTGGTTGATTCATTTTCATGATCACAATTACAACACACACTTTTGCTTTTGGAATTATTAAGGAAAATATGGTAGCCAAAAAATGAACGCAAAAGCCAGTTTTTTTATATTTTTAACTCAAAATTAGCAAAAAATTCAAACCTCAAAAATAAAATTTCACTAACTTTAGCCTTTTAGGGAGAAAAACTTTAATTCCAGGACGTAACTTTATGACATTTTAAAAGAAAAATCAACGAAAAGTGAACGGTACGACTAAACGTCAAAAAACGTCGACTGCCAAATTAATAATGTAGGGCGTCATAATCAATTTAAAACCTACATTTAAAAGCGTAATATTCCTACCTATACACACACCACACACACAGTTGAGCTGACGAAAACGAACACTTACCAAAACTTCTCAGATTTATAAAATAAAAATAGCACAAAAATAATCAAATAACACTATTAATAATGATAATAGTGATAAGATACAAAGAACAACGAGTCCCAAGTGGTTGAAAAAACAAGATAGAAATAATAAAATCCATAAAATCAATAATAATAATTATTATCATACTATCACTATCATGTTCACCATCATCATCATTACTATCATCATCATCATTATTATTATTATTACTATCACTATCATCATCATTTTCTTACAGAATACAAATTGACCTTTCCACTTCTGTTTTCACTACCAGAGAAAAATCCTGAAATGATCTTTTCGTCGAAATCATCGCTACCACCACTACCACCAGCAGCAGCAGCAGTAGTAGTAGCAGCAGCACCATAATCATAACCAAAATCCTTATCTGGAGCAGCGTAGAGATCATAGTCATAGCCCATCTTGGCGGCGTCCCTAAGGACGCTACCACTACTACGACAGATACTAGTATCAAAATTAGTAGCAGTAGTATCATTAAAGCTAGCTGCAGTAATATTAGCAGTGACGTCATGATCGAAAACACCAAACTTTTTGTGACGATCGTTTAACGTTGACGACGTTCCGGGCGTGTAGAACAGTGGGACGTGGGCTATCCTTCCAGTTGACCAGGCCTAGAGTGAGTGAATGAATTGATAAATTATGTTAATAAAGTGTTAACACAATAGTAACGAGAGTACAAACAACCGTAATAATAATAATAAGAATAATAATAATAAACTGACCAGGCTTAAAAGCGAACCATATTGAAAATGAGGTTTGAATGACATGCAGGCAATCGTTTCGTTGGCTTTTCCCCTTATAAATCCTCTTTGATTGATCGATGGATGGATTGATGGATGGATTGATGAATGGATTGATGGATGGATTGATGGCTGGAGAGATGTAATGAAAAAAATGATCGAATGAAAGAAAGATGGCTGGTTGGTTGGTTTGAAAATGAGAGAAAAATGGAAGAAATTAAGCTTGGTAAAAAAACGGGTTTTCTTTCATTTAGTATATTCACTCATTCATTTGTTCATTCATTTATTCATTCATCTAACCATTGACTCGTTCATTCACTCATTTATTCATTCATTCAATCAGTCAATCATTACATCAGATTGGCTTCAAAAGTCGGCATGCATCTTGTTCTGAACAACGCAATGAAAGCAGACGATGATTGACCTGTCAATCATTCATTCATTCATTCAATCAACCAATCATTCATTCGATCATTTATTCATTCAATCAATTAATCAATCAATAAGTTAGTCATTCAGTTGATAAATAATCAGTAACAAAAACGATAAACAAGTTTAGCAGCCGAACTGATAAATGAGTGAACGAACAAACGTAGGAGCGAAAGAACGAACGAACGAATGAACGAACGAATGAACGAACAAAAGAAGCCAACTTTTGAAAGAGACAGCAAGTCGTTCTCCATGCTCATCCCAGACCATCTGCTGAACCAGGCCGCCGATGCTGATGATAGTGATGATGATAATGATGATGGTGGTGCTGATGAAGATAGTGATGATGGCGATAGTGACGATGATGATGACGTCGACGATTAACAACAACAAAAAATAACAACAATAAATAAAGATTTTTGAAAAAAAAAGAAGAAATCAAACCCACCAAACTTCGCTGACACCAGCACAACCATCATCATCTTCCTCACAATTTCCCCCACCATCATCATTCTCTCTAATCAGTCTGAACACCCCTTGGTCCAAAGTGAGGACCGCCCTAACTGGTTTTGCAGCCAATAGGGGCTTACTTAGATCAGCTGACTGGGTCAAGGTTAAACAATAAACGGTGGGCTCTGATTGGACGGTAAAGAGGACCGTCGAACTGTCGGGACTCCAAGAAATCGACTGTTGTTATTATTATTATTATTGTTGTTTTTGTAGTTGTTGTCATTAATATTAAAAAGAATACAGCTTTTTACTCATTTTTCAATCAATCGATTCATCATTCTATCCATCTATTGACCTCCCAATCAACCAACCATCCAATAAAAGCCAGTCAATCAATCAATCGATCAATCAATCAAACAACTAATCAATCAACCAATCCATCCATCAATCAATCAATCAACCAATCCATCCATCCATCAATCAATCAATCAACCGATCGACCTGACATCTTCCGAGTTTCGATTTCAACGAGAGACATCTCCAGCTTGTACAATCCCAAACTCTAATTTCATTTGTAATAAACGAATGAACGAACGAACGAATTGAGTAATTAATAAATAATAATAATAATAAATATTAATAATAATAAACAACAACAATAATAATAATAATAAATAAATAATAAACCTCAAGCACGTGCCAGAACAAGACACGGCCAGCTTCAATCCATCAGGGGAGAATGACGTTAAAACGTTATTATTATCATAATTATATTTATTATTATAATTATAATTATATTTATTATTATTATTATTATTAAAACTATTACCACCACCACTACCATTAAAGAAGTCACCTCTATTACTGCTGTTGAGTTTACTACCATTATTGAAGGAGGTGTTAGAAATAGTATTGAAATCAGGGGTAGTGAGAGTGATAGGGGTGGTGGTGGTGGCAGTAGTGGTGGTGGTTAAGGCGAGAGCGACGTGGATGATGGCGTCGATGAGGTTAAAGTTTTGGAGTGGGGTGTATTGCTCCAGATCTGTGTTCCATATCTGAGATGTGTAAGTTTTTGTTCTTATTTCAATCAACCAACTAATCAAACAACCAGCAAACAAACCAATCACTCAACCAAATAACCAACCAACCAACCAACCAACCAATCACTCAATCAACAAATCAATCAATCAACCAACCAATCAATCAACCAACCAACCATCACGTTCCCAAGCCCAGGATAGCAGCCAACCAATCTACTCCCATCCCTACTCCACTCAATCCATCCGACTAATCCGGATTTATCAATGGAGAGAACTTGCACTGATGACGATGACGACGACGGCAGTAATGATGATGATGATGATGGTAGCGCAGTCGATGATGATGATGATGATGAAAAATGAGACGAGGCTGCTGATGATGATGATGATGACGATGATGACGTCACATGCCAGATCAGTATGCAATCGAAGCTGGCAACGGCGAGATCAGATGAAGAGAATGGCCTTGAACAGAAAGAGCGAATGAATGAGTAGATGAATAAATGAATTATTAGATGAATGAATGAATGAATAATGAATGGATGAATGAATAAAATGACAACCAGCTGACCGACCGACCGACCAATCAGCTAACTTACTTCCAACAAAGGCAACTAATGCATCTCTGCCTCGGATGCTTCAGCGGTCTGACGTCATCATTCTGGCTCAATGACGTCGATGATGACGTTTTGTAACCACCACTAACACTACTACCACCACCACTACTACTACTACAACCAACGCCGCCATGATGTTTGATTAGGATCTGGCAAATTAGGCAATGGGGGATAGATATAAATAAGCAAAGACAATTAAATAAATAAATTCTCGGATACGAACGAAAGAACGAACGAACAGATGAATGAATGAAAAAATTAACCACACATCAATAAACACACAAATCATAGCTAAAGAAACTGCATGCTAACAAACAAGAAAACTAGAAACCATCTTGCATATTAATGAATATGCTAATTAATGCCAATTAATATTCAAAAACAACACCATCAACCTCACTCACTCTCTTTCACTCACTCACTATCTCTCTCTCTCTCACTCACTTCATCATCTTTAAGTGCAATGGCAAGTTTTTGAGCATGTGGGTGCCAGGCAAAGCATCTTATGTAACTGGATTTCCTACAAGATGGATCATTATCAAAACCGCCATCATCATCACTATCATCATCATTATTTTCATCATCATCATTCATCATCACCATTACCAGTTCCTAGTTTGACTAAAAGCAGTGATGATTTCTTCAGCTGGGACCTACGTATGTAATGTATGATGTGTGTGTTGGCATTTATAGGTCTTCAATATTATCATAATTATTATAACTGTTATTTTTATTATTATTAGGGATGAACCGGATACAGGTTTTTCAAATTTGGTCGGGGCTGGCTGGACTCGGCCGGATTTAAAATTCAAAAACTTCAAAGATAAAAATCTAAAATTTAGGTACCGTTTAACGTTCGTTCAAAAAAAAAAAGAAAAAGAAGAAAAACACTCACAGTTACGGTTACCAACATGTCGAACATCAAAAGATAACACCAAGCGATTGGTTAACTAATCCAAATATATGAAGAAGCCGTGCGATACGGCAAAAACGTTCCAGTTATGTTACATTTATAAATGCTTAAGAGCGCATCATTTCATCTGTATGAAACACGAAATTCATGCGCATGCGCTATGATTAGACACATGATGACATCATGTGTCTAATTATTCATTCATTCATTCAATCATTCATTCATTCATGTTATACAGATAAAAGTACTCAGTCAATTATTTATTCATAAAACTTCTAGCCCAAAGAAATGTGCATGCCAATAAAAGATGATAATGTCACTTACGTGTCATGCACCTATATCTTCCATACTTATCAATGGTTGAGTCTCCAATCCAATACACAATAAGTTAATGATAGAAAACCAGATATAGAATGATATCGTGATATCATGAAAAGTGTTCATTGTTTTTTATTGAAAAAATCTCAGTGTACAAAAAGTTTTTTATTCCACTGTAAATAGCATAACATTTAACATACAATGTTCTTAAATTATGCTCTTATGTAGCTATATGTATATGTATATATATATACATATGTATAGATATATTTATTAAGCAGCTATATGATCCGTCAGTTACAATGATATAGTATACACACGTGCACAAGTTCTTATAATAGCTTATAATTCATGCATAACCCATGTTATAGCATAAAGAAAAATGTCCAGCTCACCTCACAATTAGTGATGTTGTTCTTATGTGATGTCATGTATGCTTAGCTTTTAACTTATTGACATAAAATTGACTACAATGAAAAAATTTTTTTCTATTTATAACATTTTTAAATGTTGATAGGCTCTTAAATCCGGCCCTAAATCCGGCTACCAAAAAGCCGGGTTTTGGTCGTGATCGGGGCCGAACTTCAGTGCATCCCTAATTATTATTACCATCCTCATCATCATTGTCATCATCATCAACAACAAAAACAATGACGTCATCATCGTCGTCGTCGTCAGTACAAGCATCGTTATCATTACCGACGGCGGGCTGGCCCAGGTATATGATTGGCAGATGGATAAAAGTTTGGTCAGCCAATGAGAGAAGAGGGATCCTTATGAATATGAATGAGATAAAAATAAGAGATTATTTTATTACAACATAAACAATACTAAAGATAATGATGATAATGCTGATGATAACCACTTGAGTCCTGATTATGATTGGGTATCAGTTCATTGAATAAACCAGAAAATCCATCTTTGGACCTAAGTATGTTAATAATAATAAATAATAATAATAATGATAATAATAAATAATAATAATAATAATAATGAATAATAATAATAAATAATAATAATAAACCCACCAGGCTTGTAGTAATTTATTTTTCTTAGAGAGTTCGGACCTGATGAAGGCCGATCTGGCAGTCAGCTCCCTCGTCTTGAAAAATTTACACTTCTCAGTCGCGCAGTTCACATCTCCGAAGCCAATTAGTTCAGACTGCTTGCATAATTAATAATAATTATTATTATTATCATTATTACCATTATTATTAAGTTTTTTTAGGATTATGATTTGGAGATTGTAGGTATTAACTGAAATAATAAGATAAAAAACAATAGTTCATACTTCATAGTGGTAATATTTTAATTTTATTAGTATTAGTTAGTATTATCTGTTTCTCTTTTTTCTCTTTCACACACATACACACAACATATCCACACACGCAACACATACACACATCACAAATAAATAATTTTTTAAAATAAAAATAAGTCAACCAACCTGGTTAGTGCTACTCTTGCACGATATTAAGTGTCCATTTTTCTCGCAGGCCGTCGCCAAACTACTCACCGAGACCACAGATGGAAATTGTGAAAGTGAGCACATCCCTGCTTTTCCTCGTCTCTGCAGCTGCCAAACTTTATTTATTAACTTCTAAAAGTTCTTTTCTAAACTTAAACTTTTAAGCTGGAAGTGAAATTTTTGAAAAAATTTAAACAGGACTTCAAGTTTTTATTGAATGAATAGGTTAAATTTCAAAATTAAATTTTACGGATGGTTGAAAATTAGTGAAAAATTATTCACAAACCGGCAAACTTCGTGTCAGGAATTTTAAAATGTTGCGAATTTTTCAAAATCAGGACGCTTAAAAGTGAACGAAGTTTTAAAAAAAATTTTAAAAGTGACGAAATGCATTATTCGAACCCACACACTGAACCCAAAATTATATAAATGATGAAAATGAACTGAAATGACATGAATAAAAATTTTTTTTTTTCAAAACATTTAAAAATTGAGTTCTCCACTTCAACAATGGACATCCAACCAACCAATTTATCAATCATTTAATCAAATAACTAACCAATCAATCAAAGTTACGAAGATTCAAAAGTAAATCAATTAGTCAATCAGTCAATTAAATTTAATTAACCGACCAAAAAAACTATTAAAAAACAAATACTATTCATTCATTCATTTGCTCCTTCAGTTTTGGTTCTGGATTTTGTTCCGGATTTTGATCCGGATTAGGCACTTCGGTCATAGTTGCGGCCGCAGTCATCTTGGGACTGTTTGAACCCAGTAAAGAAGTTTTCGGGTTTTGAGTTTGGATTAATTCGGGATTTGAACGTCCGGATGCAGCTGACTTATTCAGATGCGACATCTTCAAAGAACCCTATGGATTCATCGGTTGGTTGGATAGATAGTTGATTGATTGGTTAATTGGATGGTTGATTGGTTAATTGGATGGTTGATTGGTTAATTGGATGGCTGATTGGTTAATTGATTGGTGAATTGATAAATGACTGATACATCTTATCTACGATAATAATATTACCACCATTCATCATTCAATCAATCAAGCAATCAATCAATCAATCAATCAACCAACCATTCATTTCAATCAACCAACCATTCAATCAACCAATCAATCAATCAGAACCATTCTTTTATTCTTTTCCATCTCTCTATCATCCGTCCCAGCAAGACCAATCATTGCAGCACTGTCAGTTGTTGCAGTTGCTTTAGGTTGCATATAGAGGTACATGTCTGTCTTGCTTTTGTGATGGTTGAAACGTTTGTTGAACTTTTCCTTGTATAACTGAGAAGATCATTATCATCATCACCATCATCGCTATCATCATTATCGTCATTATCGCTATTCTCATCAATAAATCAATCAACCAATATACCTCAATCAACCAACCATTCAATCAATCAATCAATCAATCAATCAACCAATCAATTACAAAAGAAAGCTGTATAATGCGCTGATTTACGCGTCTACTTTTTGACTTAACTAACTGCTACTACTACTGCCGCTGCTATTACTACTTCTGTCGCTACTACTTCTAGAAATGCTACTACCAATAATCATAACCGACTAAACTGACGTCTTCGTTCTGGACCCAGCCGTATTCCATGTTAGTTGTTTGTGGGTACTTATATTTTTCTACAGGCGGCTTGTCATTCACGCAGAAATCTGCTAAAAATTTACCTCAAAACGGGATGGATGAAATATTCGGTTGGATAGAAAATTAATTGACTTGATCAAAATGTCGGTTAATTGACTAATCAAAAAGTCGGTTAATTGGTTGTTAATAAGTCGTTGATTGGTGTTTGATTGATCGTTCTAATTGGCAATTTTTCGGTTCAATAGACGATAAAATAATTGACGGTTTAATTGATTGTTACTGATCGAATGGCTTAATTAGTGGTTAATTAATTGATCGGTTAATTGAGGATTAATTGATCGAATAATTAGAGAACATCCTCACTATCATTATCAGCAACATCATCAGCCACTTACATTCCTCTTTCAATGGCTCTTCAATGAAACTCGTCGGCTTATCAGTAACGTATGGGGCTACAGTGAAAAGACAGAATTACAATTTACGTAATATAAATTTTACTATTAATTATAAATAAGAAAATGAGAGAGAGAGAAAGAGGAAAAGAAAGAGATAGAAAGAGGAAAAGAGAGAGAAAGACAAACACTAATAGTATACAATACGAAACAATTCACAATTCACACACACACATAGATATACAGAACCAACCAGGTTTGTTAGGATTAACAAAAAAGTTAGTGTATAATTTCTGATTCTTCAGCTGTCTGGCAACCAAATCCCTCATCAATTCATTTTGCTGCACGTCAGTCAAGTGTTTTGTCGGGAACATTTTGCGGTTTATTATTATTACTATTATTATTATTATTATTATTACTGAAACTATTTTTACGATTAATTGGATTAGTATTAATTTAATTATATCAATTAACTAATTGTGAAAATAAATTTATATGTATTTATTCATTTTGAAATGAATAGCCGGCCAGACAAGCTAACAACTGGATGAATGTAATAGTGATAAACTCTAATTAATTAACGACGTTGCTAATGGCAACTATAATTTTAAAAGTAAACTCGAGTATAAATTAGATTGATTGATCGATTCACGTATTAAATTATTGCAATGTTTTAGTAAGTTAAATCAATCAAAATAAAATGTTATCTTCAATCAATCGGTTAATCAATCGTACATACATACATTCAACCAATCAATCAATCAAATCAATCAACCAATCAATCATTCACCAATCCATAGATCAATCAATCAATCAATCCAAACCCAAAAACATTGAAATAGAAAAATAATCATTTGAAATTAGACTGGAAAACTATAATAATAATAATAACAATAATAATAATAATACTAATAATAATCACAACAACAACAATAATCATAATAAATGATGTAGCGCTTTATAATTAACGGCGTAGTCGGCGAGGCTGTTGTTGGCGTAGTAGTCCATCGGGTACGTCTGCTGGTACTCCAACGACTTCATCATCACGTTGGCCTGCGTATAATAATAATAACAATAATAACAACAACAACAATAATAATAATAATAATAGTAACAATAATGATGATGATGAAAGTATTAGCTGACCTCGTACGGATTTAGTAGGGGTTTATGAAACTCAGTACCCCAATCTATGGAGAGTCTTGGACACGCTACCTGGACCCATCTGTCAATCAATCAATCAATCAACCAATCACAATCAACCACAATCAACCAATCACAATCAATCAACCAACCAACCAGTCAACCAACCAGCCGACTAACGCATCAATATCTTCGAAGAGTTTCAACTTATCTGGAAACAATTCCGTCATCAGAATGACGACGACATCTTTGTCACGTGATCGAAGTTTCGCTTTCAGGGTCTGTAAAATTGTTGTTGGATAATAATAATAATAAAAACAATAATATTATTATCATCGTAACTGCCATCATAATCATCATCGTCATCATCTTCGTCATCATCATCAAAACGGACCTCAACAACCCTCGGAGATCCCTGCCTCCCCAACGTGCCCATGACGACGGCCACGCATTTAGAATCTTTGGCTCGATCTATTTCCTGTTTCCGATTCTTATGCAACATCTCGAAATCGTACTTCTCTCTGGTGAATGTCTTACTGTAGGGGTCATATCTGTTTGGAAATTATTATTACTATTATTACTATTAATATTATTATTATTATTAATACTACTACTACTACTAGTATTATTATTATTGTTGTTGTTGTTGCTGTGAAACGTTTAAAAGTGAATCACCATTCTTACTTGAAAGCAGGTACGCCTGGATTGTGAATGATGATCGATTCAATGTGGAATCTTCCGTCACCAAGATACCTAATTGGTCGGTTGGTTGGTTGGTCGGTTGGTTGGTTGGTCGGTTAATTGGTTTGACTGATTAGTCGATTAATTGCTTGATCAACTAACCAACCAGCCAACAAGTCAACCAACAAACAAACAAACTAATGAACCAAACCAACAAACAAACTAACCAACCAACCAGCCAACCATCCATCCAGCCAACCATCCAACCAACCAACCAACCAACCAACCAAACCAGCCAGCCAACCAACCAACTAACACAATAGCATCAACATCATTAGGTAATCTTGGAGAAGTGCACCCCAAAATTTCACCTGGAGACAGGGGTTTAGACTGGGGTAGGAGAATGTCGAAATGACTAGACAGCTCTTTACTAACTACCTGATAATGATGATGAAGATGATGGAGAAGATGATGATGATGATGATGGCGAAGAAGATGATGATGTCTTTACTGATGATGACGATGAAGAAGAAGATGACGACGAAGACGAAGATGATGATGCCTTTACTGACACCACAAATAAGGACATCATCATCATCACCACCACCATTATCACCATCAGTA